TTGTGCATAGGGTCGCTATGAGTCGCAAACGACTCGACAGCACATAACAGCAACAACAACACCAACTACTAAAGCCAGAGATGAAAAAATTGTGGACTGCTGCCAGCTTCTACAATTTGAAATTGATTGACCATGTGATTATGATATATTAAAAATTGGTGACTGGAATACAAACATTGGAAACAGAGGAAGACTGGTGGTTGAAAAATATAGACTTGGTAATGTATGATAGTGATTCTTCTTCAGTGATAGGTAATAGTGATTTCTTTTTAGTGAAACTCCATCGTGTCAATGTGCCATAGTTTCTTTAGCCTTTCATCTGTTGCTGGACATTTGGGTTGTCTAGGGCATGTAAAAACCTCTCTAAAAACCTTCATTTCTTCATCTGGGAAATGAGTGGCACTGTTCTGCCCTCACTAAGCAGGACTGTCATAAAGAGAAATGAAACGCACTTAAAACACTTATACACTGCCTGGCACACAATAAACTCAAAACTCAAACTCACTGTCATCAAGCTAGAACTGACTAATAACCGACCGAATCTCCAGTGGATTTTCAGAGGACGTAGACTGAATAGATAGAGACTTCCTTCATTTTTCCTGTGGAGCAGCTAGTGGATTCAAATCACCTGTCCTTTGGGTCTGCACCGCAACTCCTTACTCACTACACCAGGTGAGACACACTCAGTCCCTTTTAAGAGCTCATGAGGTCAGAGCTCTGGGGGCAAAAGGAGAATAGCTTAGGGCCCTGGAAGAGAGTCAGGTGAACTTCAGAGGCAGAGAATAGTTACTTCAGGTGGATCTACAGAGGAACTTCCTTGCTATCCATAATTTATCTGGAGAAACTTATCTGGCACTGTAAGAGGAGGAAGAGGAAACAGATGGAGGGTCAGAGAGAGGTGACAAGGGAAGAGTGATCGCTAGCATTATCAGGGATCTTGCTGGGAGGATAACAAGACGTTGGTGACCTTGAAGGGGGGAAGTCAGTGTGGGAGGCTGAGGAAGAGGAAGTAGAGGCCACTCCCTGGACAAGTGTGGGTCCAGAAGGAGAGAGAAATCAGGACAGTTGCTAAAGGTGGTGGAGTGGGGGATGGGGGCAGTGGGCAGCAGGGATATTTTCCCAAAGACATAGAGATCTGGGTGTATGCAGAAGAAGAGGGGATCAGTGGAAGGTGGGGAGTGGATGTTAGTAGGCAAAACTGAATCAGAGAACTCGAGCAAATAAATGAGCTCCATGGAATGAACTGAAAAGTTGCAAGTTTGAGGCCACCCAGAGGTATCTCAGAAGAAAGGCCTGGAAATCCATGTCAAAGAAGAAAATAAGGGTGATGAGGGACGTAACCAACCATCGAAAGCCTCTGGAGTACATTTCTACTCCAGCACACAAAGGGTTGCCGTGAACTGAAGTAGAGTCAATGACACCTGCTGATACAGGTCTCCAGACAGCACACAGAGGACTCTGATCGCCTAGTGCTTAAGGAGTTGCACTGCCAACCCAAAAGCAAGCAGCTAAAATCCACCAGCTGCTCCACAGGAGAAAAAGCAGCAATCTCCTCCTGCACGATTCACAGCCGCTGGTAGAACACCGGAGGGTCTGCTATGAGTCAGTTCCACCTTGATGACAGTGACTTGTGTTGTTGTTGTGGACAGACTCAGAGGAGAGTCATCTGCCAGGGGATGATTTTGGAGAACTGCCTGTAGACAGGGCTGGGACATTGCACAATCCCAGGCGGTGCTGTTCATATTGACTATGGAGTCTGGGCTGGGAGAGCTGGAAAGATACTGAAAGAGGTGAATAGCATGAAGACTAGAGCCAGAGCCTGCGTTTGCATCCACCTTTAGTGGTGCAGTGAGTTACGTGTTAGACTGCTAACCCAAAAGTTGGCAGTTCGAATCCACCAGCCACTCCACAGGAGAAGGATAAACAGTCTCTTGCAGTAAAGACCGACATACAGCTCAGAAACCTGGCGAAGGGTTGCCAATGAGTTGGAATCCACTCAATGGCATTTGGTTTCATTTTTGGTTTGATTAGTGCTGACAAGGAGCCCTAGTGGCATAGGGCATAAGGTACTGGACTGTTAACTGAAGGGTCTGTGGTTCCAAACCACTAGTATCTCTGTAAGAAAGGCAGTCTCATCTCATAAAGATTTTTCCACGGAAACCCAATGAAGGGCTGCTATGAACAAGAATAGACAGATTTTTGCAGCAGATTTTCTCCCCCATTGTGAAAGATTGATTCCTTTTCTATTGTTTCCATGAGCATTGATTATGGATTCAAGCATAAAGAAATGTCAGTCCTTTCTCCACTTACTTTTTTGGTCCATTTGCAAGGATGTTTGCAAACATCCAAGGATGTCTTTATGTTGAAGAGTAATCCACACTAACGGCTACAACGTGTAATTGTAACAAGTGCTTCCAAGTTCTCTTTGCTTTCATCAAGCAAAATTGGGTCATCTGCATTACACTGGTTGGTAAAAGGCTTCTTTCAATCTTAATGCCATGTTTTTCTTCATATAACCCAGTTTCTCAGATTATTTGCTCATCCTACAGAATTAAAAATTATGGCCAAAGTATACAGCTCAGTTGCACACTTTCCCTGATCTTAAGCCAGCCACATCATTCCCCCTTACTCTGTTCAAATGGCTGCTTTTTGGTCTAAATGAGCAAGATTAGGTCTGGTGGAATTCTCATCCTTTGCAGTAGCATTTGTAGTTTGTTATGATCAACACAATCAAAAGCTTTTGCATAATTAACAAAACACAGGTAAACATCAGCAATGGCTCTTATTCCACAGTATCTTCTGAATCCAACCTTAATTTCAGACAATTCACTGTCAACATATGGTTCCAAACACTTTTTTATTATCTTGAGCTTGAACATGAGAAGCTGATAGTCTACTCTTTAGTCAGTCTCTGACCTTGTTCTGTCCAGTAATATTGAGCTTCTCCACCAACTCATTCCACAGATACAGTCACTTTGAATCCTCTGTAGTCTGTCTGGTCAAGGCCACACATCTAGACTCCGTTTATGTTGTTGAAAACAACAATGTTGTTTACGCTGTTTATGCTGTTGAAAAAGGTGTTTCCAATGACTAAATTGTTGGTCTTGCAAAATTCTATCCTGCCATCTCTAGTGTCATTTCTAGCACCAAGACCATATATACCTTCTTTTGCTTCCTTCTTTCCAACAACCAGGAACTATTGAATCACCTTGACAATCTGTTTGATCAACTTCAGGCTATTGTTGTTGTTGTTTGATTGGCATCAAGTTGAGCATGACTCATAGCGACCCTATGAAAAAATACCTGAACCCTTCCTATAACTATTGTCGTTTCTCAAAGTTCATTGAGTTTCCAGAGGCATGTTGTTTAGGAAGTGCATGCCACTCCTGCTTCCAATCAGACTATAGAACTTAGTAAAAATCTTCAATTTTTTTTGCCTTGCGCTTCAGTGGTTGGTACATAAATTTGAGTAATACTAGTATTAATTAGTCTTCCTTGTAACTGAACATCATCCTATCCTTGGCAGCATTGTCCTTCAGGATAGATCTTGAAGTGTTGTTTTGGACATCTTGAATATCACAATTGGTGTAATGCCATTCCTCTTCAACTTTTAGGAAGTAGACCACCATGTCCTTTCTGGTTTGACCTAATTTGAAAGCTGTGCTAATAACTGCCCCATTGTTACCCTGCTGGTGATTAAAATACCAATGACACACAAACCACCACAGTACAACACACTGAAACATTAGTAGTGGACCTTCTGCTTAGGAAGAATTAACTTCTAGGAAATTGTGCTGCCAACACAAAGGTATGAAGTTCGAATCCACCAGCTGCTTTGTGAGAGAAAATGGGCATTCACCTCCCTTGCAATTTACTGCCTCTGAAAACCTGCCAGAGGATCAGTTATGGATGGGTTCCAACCTGACAGCAACAGCTACACTACTCATTGCTATCAAGAAGCAGCCAACTCATAGCTGACTCACCATTGGACCCACATCATTCCTGCTCTATGCCACTGGTGGATTCGAACCACTAGAAAGACATGGCCTTTGGGTTAGCGTAAAAACTCCCTACAGACTAACACCAGAGCGTCTAACTTCTAAGAGCTCACTAAAAACAATTCCAATTACTTGTCTAATATTGTTGTTGTTGATTGCCATCAAGTCAAGCACAACTCCTAGCAACCCTATGAACAAAAGGCCTGAAGCCTTTCTATAAATTGACATTTATCAAAGTTCATAGAGTTTCCAGAGGCATGTTGTTTAGGAAGTGGATGTCACACCTGCTTCCAAATGTCTAATATTATGTAACCTAATTCTCATACCGTAGGAGATGGTAGATCCTGGTATTCCTATTTTTCAATTTAACAAAGTGAGAACCAGAAAAGTTAAAGCTAAATATGTGGTTTCCTGAGGCCATGTAGCTAGGATTCAAATCCAGGCCTGTAAGATTGCAGAGCCTGGTTGAGTCCTTAACCACTAGGTAGGAATGGGGCCAATACAGGGGGGAGGGAACCCCTTGGCCCCAGTGACTCACCTTTCCCTCCCCCTACAGTACCCTCCCGAAGCCTCCTGTTCTATGACGAGGGAGCAGCCTCTTGGGAGGATGGCCACAGAGCCCTGCTGCCTGTGGAGCCCCCAGATGGCTGGGAAATCAAGCCCGGAGGGACCGCAGAGCAGCGACCCCAGGACCACCTGCAGCATGACCTTCTGGACAGCACACACGAAACCACCAAGTACCTGAGCAAGGCCTGGCCGGAGGACGTCGGTGGAAATGGCACCAGCCCCGACTTCTCCCATCCCAAAGAGTGGTTCCGCGAGAGGTAAGTGGGTGGTCCCTGGTCTTCCCAGGGTCGTGGGCTTCACCTGGCCTCTCTCCACATTGGTCACTCACAGCCACCCAAGGACCTGGTCCTCTTGTGTCTGGACCCCTTTACTGATGGGGATAAGGTTCTCACTAGAGTCACCCTAACGGCACACTCTCCCTTGCCTACCTAGCTTCTCTTATCTTTCCAGAGACGTAGGTCCCAACACCACCATCAAACTCTCCTAGCCCGTGCCAAGACCCAGGATGCAAGACAAACCCACTGGAACCCAGAAGAGGGCTTGTCTTCTCACCAACCCGGATCCGGCTCGTACCCCTGCCTCCTGGGAATTCCCATCCCAGAAGAAAGGGATCCATTTCTCTCCAGTCCTCCCTTGCCCCCTTCCCTGGCTGGAGCTTCTCCTGTCACACCAACATTTGGACTGTCCCCTTGGGCCAACCACTCCCTACTTCTCCCCATACAACCATCCGTCCACAGATGAACCACTCACTGGGTACCTACCTTCCTCCTAATGACCAATACAACCACTGCCTCCCTGCCCCCTTGCGCACTCACCAACAGCCACACAACAGACAACACCCCCACATACATCCCTCACCCCAACTCCCACTGTACAGAGACCAAGAACAGAAATTGTTTGTAAATAATGAACCTTATTTTTTATTATTGCCAACTCCCTAAGATATTGTATTTTACAAGTCTCCCACCTCCCTTTCCCTCCCTTGTTTTATATTTTATGAAGTTAGTGCGGGCTTTGCTGTTTCCTGGCCCAGGAAAGAGGGTTCCCCACCTTCCTGGCCTCCCCTCGCTGCTGCCCAAGTTGCTGGGCCTTTTTAATTGCCAAACTGCTCCATCCACCAGCTAAGCACATGCTTTAAGAAGGCAAAATTAAAAAAAAAAAGATGCAGCATCAATCCTTGGCTTTGTGCCTTTCTTCATGGAGGTGGGAGTGGGGTGGGAATGGGCTAAAAGAAGAGAGAATGTTGTTGTTGTTGTTATGTGCTGTCGAGTCGCCTGCGACTCATAGCGACCCTATGTACAACAGCCCTAAACTCCGCTCTGTCCTGTGCCAATTGCACTGTCTCTGA